AAATTAAATGTACTGCTTAATAAATAAACAGCCTCTACTCAAAATATTTTAAGTAATAAAATCTATCAGCTCACCAAATAAAAATCCATCACTATATATATATATATATATATATATATATATATAATGTGTGTGTGTCTGTGAAACAATGTCTGTTGCCTGACACATAATTTCTAAGCTTAAGTTTTATTAGAAATTTTTGGTATTTAATGTTCACTTGTTTTTATTAAGATTGACCATTGAATTCAATGCCTTTATAAAGCCGTGATGAAAAATAAGGTTATTGTGTGAATTTTATTTTTCCTCGTACGATTAAGAATGAGGGCACTTCAACATGGTGTAATGGTTAGCAAACTTGTCTCACGAGATGATTTACGACGGAGTAGTGAGTTCGATCCTTATTGATTGCTCCATATATTTGGCCTTGTGCCATATCTAAGCTGTGGTTAGAAAATCACCATACGGCTAAGGCTTTTCTAATTTATTTTACATATTTTTGATTGTGTGTGTGTGACTAACAGATGTGATGGTTTTGTGTGAAAGATTTTTTTTTTTTTTTTTTTTTATTGATGATGATAATCATAATAATAATGTCTCCTGTCTCTCCAAGGAGTTGGTGTATCTTTTGGCATCTCACTCTCTCTATCAAGCACATGCACTCCATTGCCTCTTCTTCTCTTTCTTTCGGACATACAGGAGGTCCTCTGTGTGTGTGTCTCTCCCCCAAACACCCGAGGACTCTCTCTCTCTCGAGGGCTCTCTTTCTCTCTCTCTCTCGAGGGCTCTCTTTCTCTCTCTCTCTCTCTCGAGGGCTCTCTTTCTCTCTCTCTCTCAAGGGCTCTCTCTCTCTCTATCTATCTATCTATCTCTCTCTCTATCTATCTATCTATCTCTCTCTCTCTCTCTATCTATCTATCTCTCTCTCTCTCTCTCTCTATCTAGGATTAGTAATGAATGTCTCCATAAACTTAAACCCTTTTTCTTTTCTCATCATTTATTGTAAGCTCCAGTTCAGTATATAATAATTTCATTCAGGCATTCTTTATTCACTTTCAGGTAAGAATCAAAGCTGCTCCATATATTTGCTTCTCGACAAAATAATTGTCACAACTGGTCATTGCATTTGTCACTTTTCCCAGGGCAGATTTAACATTATCTGTAACTCCTGAATTTTTTCTTTTCTTTTTTTTTTCTTGGTGATAACATGTTTTCTATGAGTATTTGTCGTCGTTGCTGGTGGGACGTGGTACAAATTTCGTTCACCCCTTACTTCAAAGCCATCAGTCTACCATCTTTCGGTGAAACAAAGCAGAGATGGGCCAGAAACGTTCATTCTACTTTCATTATGGCCACTGCCATCAACGAATGCCGTTTTCATCTGCAGCGGTGGGGCTGCTGATGGGGGTAGTGGTAATTTATGCAAATTTGATTGCTTTTTTTTCCCCCAACTGAGAATGCTTTCCTTATTTTCTTCTCCCCCCACCCATTCTTGACTGACACATGCCTCCCCCCCCCCGAATCATTTTGTTCTCTCTCACATTATGATTTTCCTTTGCTTTCTTTCGACGAATTGAGCAATAACAAAGCTAAACCGTAGTATTGTTGAAGGCCATAATGATATCTGATAGAATACAGTGATATTTACCTTGTACAAGGCTCAAGAGCCACTTGAGGTAGAGGGTTACATAAGGAAGGAACACGGAAACTCGATCCTAAACTGGAAACAATAGATAAATCAGTAGTCATGTTCAAAAGACGGGGGAGTGTGAATCGAGCAATAGGTGAACCTATCAATTCTTATTGAGAAAAGAAAAATGAATTCAGTAGAAAGTAAAAGTTGAGTTTCAGGCGGAGACGTTAGACGTATAGCGTTGAAGTAGACCGGAAACCCAACCCTAAACAGGAAACAAGCTGTACATTTCTACATCTGCTCAAAAGACCAGGGAGGTGTGTAAACCGGACAATAGGTGAACCTAACAAAAAAAAAAAAATTTTTTTTTAATCGTAAAACATTTCAAAATAAATGGCTTTCTTTTTTCCTTCATTTTGCCAAAAAATACATGCCCTAATTTTTTTAATATAAAAGGAAAAGGAATGTTTTGAAATATTTAAATTTAAAAATTAAATTGGTTATTTTAATTTATTAAACTCTTAGAGCATAAGCATGAAGACAAAAAATGTAATTTAAGTTTAAATCACACACACTAAAGAAAACTTATCTTGTCTGGCACATTTTGTCCTCTGATAGACTTTATCAAGGCAAATTGGAAAATGGCCACACTGTTCGGCCTTTCCTCTTCTCCATTTTTTTTTATTTACTTTTTAATTTAGAAGCTGTTCACGATTATTTATCTACAAAAATAAGCCTTCTTAATTTTCCAAGAATTGTGGGATTGAAATATATGGAAACGAGGGGAAAAAACGGCTAGTTGTCTGTTCAGAGAAAATTGAAATGTTTCATTTTAAAATTTCATTGTTATTCAAAATGTATAAGTACGTGACTTTTTTTTTCTCATCCAACAAGCTGAGAACATGCTTGTCTGCCTACATGTTCTTGTATATATGTAGGATACATACCAGCCAAGACCCTAAAGTCTTCACATTTGCCTGGTCAACAGTGAAAAATCGACAGCAAGCTGGATGAATTGAAATTCTACAAATCGATGTTTGCTTCAAAACTTTGCTTTTTTTCTTTTCTTTTTTTATTTTATTTCGCCAATAACTTTCAAAAATTTAATCTGGTTTTTATATATTTTTTGTTTTTAAGTTTGCTTAAAATAGAAATTGAAATATATTTTTGTATTTTTGGTGTTGATATTTGAGTTAGTGTTTTCTTCCAATATTTTATGATTCATGAATGTTGTTCATTTGTACTTTGTTATGGACAAAATATTACAGTATTTATTTTCTGCTTTTCGTAATTGAATTGTCTGGAGAAGGGCAACATCTAATAATTGACTTTAAAAAGGGGCGTTGGAATTTTTTTTTAAATTAGAAAGATTAAAATTGAAAACTTCCATCAATTTTTTTGGGGTGGCTATTTCAATTGCTGTCTCTGGTTGCTGAAAATGGTGGTCGACAGTTTCAGATAGAATTTAATAATCTTCACACAAGTAAATTGCTGGGAAAAATCGTACTTCGGCGTTTGTTATGCCATCGACTTACGACCGACAAGTCGTAAGTCGACCTGTAATTAATTTTGCAATCTTTCCGACACTGAAATCTGAAATTGTATTAGGACAGCGAAAAGATGTCTTCCAAAAGCTAAGCTAAGTATTAAGAAAGCCCCCCCCCCAAATATTAGAAACAAAGAAAAAGAACTACTGAACTGTTACGTCATAGCAGTCTCTCATATGGCAGTGAACGCTAGACAATCTTCTCACAGATGAAGACTTGAAGCAACAGAGATGGATGATGCTGACAGCACTATGGAACGAACATATGAGTAACGACGACGTTTTAAAGAAAATGAAGAAACGGCCCTTATACGGAAAGAGACAGATGAAATTTCTATGAAATGAGAAAAGAGGGGTTGGAAAATTTTATATACACATGACAGATTGAAGGCAAGACGGACAGAGGAAAATAACACGTAGCCTACATAACGACCCTGAGTGAATGGATGCCAAAACAGGGTTTAGGAGAGATAAAAAGATAAAAAAATTTGTGGTAAGCCAACTTCCTGAAAGGATATAATGCATAAAAGATAGTACGATAGTCTTCTACCAACATAAAACCTTTCACTTTTAAACCTAGCGAACTACTTTCGAATTCTGAACTATGGCAGCATCTCCATAAACGGCACACCTCTTTTTTTTTTCCTCTTTAAAAAGAGTTTTCTTTTCATTTCCCCAAATAAAAATGCACCAAATGACGGAAATATATCTCAATATTTCTTCGTTTTGACTTTTAACATAAAAAAACATTTAAAATTCTCAATCTACATTATTCGGACTGTTGTCCTCATCTTTGTCGCCATATTTATTACGTTTCGGCCGTTGTACGATCCGGCCTTCTTCAGGTGGTTGGAATGTCGAACTGAAACTTTTATTTCGCTCACTGGGGTAGAATGTTCTAGTTCCATGTGCCATGTTTAATGGATATCAGTTATCTTCTATTAATTTCCCTCTTCAAGTTCTCCACCGCCTTAACCGGCCGAAACATAATAAATATAGCGACAAAGATGAGGACAATAGTCCGAATAATGTAAATAGTGTAGAAATACTGTGTTGAAATGTAATCGATCAGAATATGTATATATGTCATAAATTTCAGTCAGGTGTGAAACACAGTCGAAGCGCCACCTACTGAAAAAAAAGGCTACGAACCTTTGTTAGAACCCAGTATTTTTTCTTTTAATAGACTGATTGGTTGTAGTGGAAGCGTTATCCCTAAATTGAGTGTGGTTTTACTTTGAGAAGTGTCAGAAACCAGGTCTGTGGGTAGAGGGCTCCTAACACTTTGTTCATAAACGCTTCTCAAATAGGGAGACAATCTAAGGACTTCCACGCAAATGTTAAGAAAACCCCAGACACAGGAGAATATTGTTCCGTCGGAATATAATGGAAATGCTGAATATTATAAAATGAATAAATGTAAACAGGTCTGCTTTTTTTTCGCTATGAAATATGAGAATAATGCCTGTTCGGGAAGCACTTAGCTGACTTGAGGGTTTGTTTTTTTTTTTTTTTTAAGTTTTATAGAGGCGGGTGTAGAAAAATAATCTTTTCAATTTCATTTGAAACATGATGAAAAAGTCATTAGGAACAATTAGTTGTCGAAACAACAATCGAATTTTTTCCTTTTCTTTTTATGATGGGTAGGGAGTATTTTCTAAATTTTTTCTTCACTGTGTTATCTTTTAGTAGCAAAATAGTGCATTGTTCTTTTTAGGAACTATTGCTCTGTTGTTGACACGTATATCCTTCGATTGCAACTTGGCTTTTGACTCTCCTTTTCGCATCAGATGAGATAATCAAACCAATTTGATTAATTAATGGATGACAGTTGTTGTTGCTATTCATTTGCTAAGAAAGCTGGGTGTCCATAATTTGTTTTCTTTCTTTTCCACCCCAACACCCTTCTCTTTTATCCATTTGAATTTCTTAATGTCTCCCCCATTTTTCCGTATCACCCTCTCTCGCCTTTTTTTTTTTCGTTTTTTTTTTTTTTTTTTTTTTTTTTCGTCTCTCGCCTTTTTTTTTTTTTTTTTTTTTCGTCTCTCGCCTTTTTTTTTTTTCGTCGCCTTTTTTTTTTCCGTCTCGCCTTTTTTTTTTTTTTTGTCTCTCGCCTTTTTTTTTTTTTTTCCGTCTCTCGCTTTTTTTTTTTTTTCCGTCTCTCGCCTTTTTTTTTCCGTCTCTCGCCTTTTTTTTTCCGTCTCTCGCCTTTTTTTTTCCGTCTCTCGCCTTTTTTTTTCCGTCTCTCGCCTTTTTTTTCCGTCTTCTCCCCCCTCTCTCGCTTTTTTTTACCCCCGTCTCACCCTGTCTCGCCATTTTTTTTCCCCGTTTCACCCTGTCTCGCCTTTCTCCCACCACCGTCTCACTCTGTCTCATTTTATCGCCTTTCACCCCCTCCCCTGCCCCCAGTCTGTCTTCCCCTCTTTTCTTTTTTCCTTCTCTTCCGCATTGAACCTTTTCTCAATTTAATATTTCTCCCCTGTCACATCTAACCCCCCACCCCTACTCTGGTCATTCAAAATTATTATTCTCCACCGACTATAAAATAAAAAGAAAAGATTTACTTTTGAAACTATCACTCTTTCTTTCAAACGTTTTTTATTCCACTCCCGAATCGATTCTTTCTCTTGACTTGCTGTGCTCCTCCTTCAACCTACACTGCCTCCTCTCACTGCTGCTCTTGCTTCCCCCTTCACTTTAATGTTCTTCTCACCATTTCCTCTTCCTCCTCCTAGTTATCGGGGGGGGGGGACAGGAGGAGGAGGTGTGTCTTTCTTACCTTCCTTTATAGGTTGTCTTCCTCCAGTCAACCACTCCCTTTTTAATCCACTAAAAGAGACAACGAAAATATCTCATTATAAATTTAAGTGCTCCAAATATACTTTCCATCTCTGTGTCCATTTCTAAACCTAATTAATTGGCACTGCTTCCTAATAGAACGAGACCGATACTTTGTCACCTTTCTTTCTCTTTGACGATATTTTTTTTTTATTTTATTTTTTTTTTTGTGGGTGGGGGTTTGTTTTCTTGGTGGTTCTTCTTCAACACCATCTTTTCATTCTTTCCTTAGTTTTGTTCCATCTACCCTGACCATCTTTCTGCCTGCGATCGATTTCCATATTGATTCAGCAATAAAAGCATTGCTCTTGTCTGACATGTTGGTTTCTTTTCTTTCTCTTTTCTTTTCTTCTTATTATCAAGATTTCTTCATTTCAAACTGCTGAGATTTACGACTTATATTTCAAATTCTTTTGTATTATTTGACCTTTAAACAATTCCGGATTAACTGTCGCCTCTTTCATATGCGTGTGGCTGGGTGCGTGCGCTGTCATATACATTGTCTCCATCTTGTATGGAAAGAGGAAACAATCCCTATATTATAAAAAAACCGGCCGATTTTCTGTCCATCACACATTGTCTGCGTGAAACTTGGCACACGTGTATATCATGTATATGTGTGTTGCGCGTAAGTAATTGTGGCATTTAATTTATACACTGGCGCACACAGATATTTTGACGGAGTTTGACATTGCCACACACTCAGTCTGGACAACTGATAACCTGGGCTAAGCTATAAAGTTGGTGGCTAAAAAAAAAAGTTAAAATTTCAAAACCCTTAAACAGATAATTAATGCTTTTTGATAATGAATAGAATTATTTAATTTTTTTTTTTTTTAATTTTACAGATTTCAGTCTTTGGGTTACCATAGCAGGATATGACAACACAACTGTAAAATTCAAACTTTTCCTTTGCAAAGAAAATCACCTCCATAATTTTTAGCCTTTTCCTGGTGTAGAATTATTGCTGGTTCTTGTTGTATTTCGTTAATTATCCCCATGTTTATGGTTCCATCAAAGAAATAAATCTCAATGGACGAAACTCGAAACATTTCCCCCACAAGTAGTGTGGTGAAAAGTCACAGGCAGGGTTGTTAATGTCCGAATCTTAATACAACGATATGACCTCTCTGTGATTATATGTGTCATTTTTTTCACGTGGTGAAAATTTATTTTTTAATTTGACTTTATTAAATTTTATTTATTTATTTTAAAATTCTTTTAATTTCCCCCGAGGTAACAATAACTGCTTGAAAGGTGTATGCGAGGAATGAGATGATGTGAGGGTAGAAACCCTATAAGATTGTGCAAAGCATTAAAATTGGTGGTAGTGGTTAGACTGGTGCATTTGAATGCACTCTTTGTGGTGCCAAGGGGGAAAGGGGCCAAACTATATGGTTCCTGCACAGATGAACTCAAACCATTCGCCATCTGGCTTTGTGTGAGGAATTAGCAACGTTATGACACACTGAGATTTATTTGATAATTTTTGAATTTTCTTTTCTCTTTCCCCTCTTTTTCTTTCCCCCTCTTTTTCTTTCCCCCTCTTTTTCTTTCCCCCTCTTTTTCTTTCCCCCTCTTTTTCTTTTCCCCTTTTTTCTTTTCCCCTTTTTTCTTTTCCCCTTTTTTCTTTTTCCCTTTTTTCTTTCCCCCTTTTTCTTTACTTTTTTTCTTCCCCCTTTTTCTTTCCCCCTTTTTCTTTTTTTCCCCTTTTTTTTTTTTTTTTTTTTCCCCCCTTTTTTCCCCCTTTTTTTTTTTTTCCCCCCTTTTCTCTTTTACGTAAATTATCTTTCCAACAAAAGAATCTACACCCCCACCCATCTCCAGAAAAAATAGAATGAGAATTCTAATCCAAATGATAGCAATCATCATCGTCTCTTTTTTTGTATGGAAGTAATAATACTTGCATCAATTCCTCACCACTGACAATCCAACTTCATAGTTTTTTTTTGTTTCTTTTTTCACTGCATTTTATAGTAAAATTGTTAACACATAATAGCCTGTTCTGTCATTAACGCAAGTGTTACATGATTTTCCTAATAAAAGCAACTTCGGATTTTCACCAGTACTTACGTTGCTTAAATAACTGCTTATTTTTTATGCTTGAATTTAATAAAGAGAGAAAAAAAAATCACTGAAACTAAACGACTAGATTTCATACCATAGAAAATCACTATTATCAATAAATTTTTTTTTTATAACCTTCAATCAATACAAGGCCCAAGAGTCGCTCAAGGTAGTGTTGTATGAGCGTAAGTTCGGGGATTCACTTTGGGTTTTCTGTCTGGATTTTATTCCATTGCCTTTTCCGTATTTGAAAATGACTTCAAAGCAGCGGTGGTTTAAAATCAAGAAAGAAATCTCACTGAAACTAAAAGAATAGAATTGTTTACCCAATTCAAGGCCCAAGAGCCACTCAAGGTAAAGGGTTACTGTGTGGTGTTATTTGTGCATAAGAAAAAGCAAAAGGTGGAGTTCATGAAGTTATGTATAAAAGATAACGTTTAAGCCTGGACTTAAAAACGTCAAGATTATAGTGATGGAGATGCCAGGAGACATTTACTTCTTTGTAAAGGGAATGGGGATGATTCATCCGTATGTAGGTGGCGTGGCGGGGCCAAGCTGCAAAGGTCTGGTTGGTCGAACCAGTGTATGTAGCTCGTCAGAACACTTGCCATGCAAATCACGATAGAGGGAGTTGTAGGGTGGAAAATAATTCATCACCCACAAGGCCGCATAAATAGTTTTGGTCTCTATCAAGACAGGTGAGTTTTGTAAAAATACAGAGTGGTTCGAAACCTTTGTCACTCTTACATAATATAATTTTCTATTTCAGATGGCTTACACGAGCTCCTTTGGAAGAGAGGGTTAGGGTGACAAGACTTTCGGAATGTAGTATAGCGGGGGAGGAGTCAGATACGAACTGGTGTGGCACAGTGAACCAAGCTTTTTTCCAGTCAATCAGTTAAGTTCTTGGACGATCATGTATCTTTCGATACATGACTGACGAGGCAAATTTTTTGCCCCCAGTGGATTGCCATTTCTTTAAACAGCAGACCGTTGAACCCAGTCTGTCCTGCTATTCAACCCATAGCTGGTGAGAGAAGAGATGGATTCATGCCCTTTCCCAAGAGTATTTGCGCGAACAAATTTCTCTGAGTTCTCACTCCAAGCCGATATCCCTTACACCACAACGCACATCAAGAGATTAGATTAGATTAGTTCCACATAAGGTGTGTGGAAGATTTAGTCAAATTCAAGTATAATACCTTAAAAAGAATATTTGTGTGTGTAAAAGGAAGTGCAATGCCTTATAAAGAAATGCTAGTCAAAAATTAATAATTGTCAATGTTATTACTGCGGTTGAATCTCATGCCTTGAAGTTGTTGAGCCCACGAGAGCCACCTTGTCCCTCCAGCTCTTACAATCTTGGCAGGACGTCGGAATATCCTCCAGTGCTAGATTTAATCTGTTCGAGGTCCTAGCGGACTATGTGGTCTGCCGTGAAATTGTCGCCAGGCTTGGGCTGCGCGTCAACTGGTCGAATACCAAGCTGAATGCACGTAGATGGCCGCGATCCACCGCCCAACCAACACCGGCAGCCTCCTACCTCCTAAGATCAGCAGAAGACGTGGGTTGGCTGATAGTCTTCTAAAAGTGGCATTGCGATATTTCCCGTCACACCATGATACGAGTTCACAAATACAATATTCTCTCTCTGCAATTATATTATTATTATTATTAATACATGATTTTAAAAAATAAGAAACCTGGGGATTTAACCAGTAATCGAGTTGGTTCTTTGTTTTTTTTTTATGCTTGTGACTAATAGAAAAGAAAATAACTTGCGCGATAAAGGGAGCGTCCTGTTTGGTCAGAATTCAGTCCTTTGGTGTGACCTCTCCTGAGAGGTGCTATATAGAGGCCATACGCTGCCCAGACGACATGGCCCACACCCTCAGCCGTACTAACAAGATCCAAAGGAATACAGGGCATTATATTTAGAGACGCAGAAGTTGTCAACCAATCACCGCCTCTAGGTTTCTGTCTGGATTTACTTTCATAGCCTTTTCCGTGTCTGGATATCACCGCAAGGCAACGGCCCCTAGATGGACTACCGTCCTGGTCCGTTGAGCTCCATCTATCCGGCGCAGATGGTTATGAGGTGCTAATTGAATACAATTTATAAACTGACATAAAATAACTATCTTTGTTAAATTTTACGTTTTAAATTGCTTTAGTCGCACTGACATAGTAGTTGCTTAGAGTTTAGCCAAATGTGAGTGTTGTTGCTCATAGATATATTTTTTTATTATTTCGCCCCAAGCAAGGTAATAAAGCCACTAAGACACAAGGCGTTACTGAGTTTGAAAGTATAAGAAAAAGAAAACTTTGGTTTTGGAGTGAGAACAATAGAAGAGTAATCAAGAAGATAGTAGATAACGATTGACATTGAATTTAAATTTTTGGAAAGCAAGAAGTCAGAGGAAAGTTCCACAGGCGAAAAATATAAGAAAAACTGTTAGCAAAGTACTTATGGTTACGTCTCGGCGATTCAACAGTAAACTGATGAGACCTAGCTGCCAATCTAGTACTGCACTTAAATTCATAAAGTCTAGGTACCATGTAGCAAAGTTCGTCAGAACAATTACCATGAAAGTATTTATAGGAAAGACACGGAAGTTACATGACGACGGTGAGAAAAGTTATCAAAAAACTCTAAAATATATCAGCAGGAGCACCATACCAGATGTGTCAGCGATATTCGACGTATGGAGGAATGATAGATTTATAAAAAGATAGATTCTGGAGAGAAAAATTGTCGAGCACGACATAGTAAACCAACTTCCTAGAAACAAAACCGTTTCATTTCTGACATTTCTATGTAGTCAGTGCTTTTAATCAAATAATGCTTGTCTTAATTCCTAACCAGTCATTTATCCATGCAAGACGATTTTTCTCTCCAGAATCGATCTTGCATATCTATAAGTCTACCATGCTTAGAATATTGCTGTCACGTAGAGTCCAGTACCCCTGCTAATTACCTTGATAAGATCCAAAGGAGAATCGACAATATTATTAGTTCTGATCTGGAGGCCGGACTTCAGCCACCATAAGGTGTTTTTTTTTCCCCTCTCTCTCTCTGTGATTTTTCGGATGAGCTCTTCATTATGGTACCTAGACTTGATGAATTTAAGCACAGTAATAGATTTGCAGCAAGGTCTCATCATTTTACAGTTGAATTATCTAGATGTAACAGTAAATCCTATGCTAAGTTTCTTTTCTTGCTTATGGAACTCCCTTCTGGCTCCATGCTTTCCAGAAAACTTTAATCAGTAAAAATTTAAATGCAATGTCAATCGCAATCTGCTGTTCTCCTGATTACTCTTTCCTTTTCCCGCTCATTATTAATGTTTCTGTTCCTAATTCTACCAAAACCTTAGTGGCTTTACTGCCTTGCATAGGGTGTAACGGATTAAGAAAAATAGATAAATAAAATGCTTCTCACCTGTGGAATTCCTTTCCGGTTCTATGATTTCCAGCCAACTTTAATTCTTTGGGAACTGTGTTCCTGAACAATTTTAACCCTAACCCTGCCTGAGCTCCTCAGTCAAAATTCACAAATAATTGCTATGTCACGTTTCACGGTAGATGTAAAAATAGTTAGAAGTGTTTAACCACCGTTCAACCGGTGGCTGGGCATTACGTCATTTTTATCGACCACCGTTCAACCGGTGGCTGGGCATTACGTCATTTTTATCGACCACCGTTCAACCGGTGGCTGGGCATTACGTCATTTTTATCGACCACCGTTCAACCGGTGGCTGGGCATTACGTCATTTTTATCGACCACCGTTCAACCGGTGGCTGGGCATTACGTCATTTTTATCGACCACCGTTCAACCGGTGGCTGGGGTGGTCATTTTATCGACCACCGTTCAACCGGTGGCTGGGCATTACGTCATTTTTTATCGACCACCGTTCAACCGGTGGCTGGGCATTACGTCATTTTTCTCTACCATCAGATTGTTGTTTTGATACTAACTACAAGGAAAACCGAAATGACTCAAATGCAAATGACACAAAAATAGAAAAATGATCGTTCTTGCCACTATCGATCAGAATTTGCTTTGTTCTTATCTGGTTTTATAATTGTGAGTTCTTTAAATTCAAGGGGAGGGGAACTGTTACTAGCGAAGGACTTTCAGTTAAGTCCGAAAGTATAATAGTGAAACAATCATTTGATGACAATTCAAAATAGGGCGTGGAATTAAGCGAGTTGACCAGTTTGACATTGGATCCATGATAAGAGTTATGTAATTAATAATAAAAAAAAAGTCCTTATATATTTGTTGAATAAATCCGAATTGAGAATCACAGGTTTCATAAGTCGAGAGTTCTCTGTAATTATGATTAGACTTAATTTTGAGCTAATTCGAAAAATTTTTTTTTAAAAAAAAGATAAAAATAATGGATAGATGTTTGGCTGGGGACTGGTCTGTTTTGTTTGTTTTTTAGGGGGTAGAGGGTGCGGAGGTGCAAACGTTTGGGTGAAAAGAGATATATATATATATATATATATATATATATATATATATATATAAAGTAAGGGTAATTTTCATTTTCTCTGTCACTCCTTTCTGTCTCTCTTTCTCTTTGTGTGTGTGTCTCTTTCTCTCTCCACACACATACAAGCTCCTCCTCCTTTCTGCTCGTTGTCCTCCTCCTCTGACTCATGAAACGATACAATCTAATTGATTGCCCTGCATGTTTATTTCCATTTTTAATTCCTGTCATTTTGACACTTTATCACCCACTCCCCCAGCAGCCCCCACTTTCACCTCTATATCAGCTGTCACATTTTGTCGCCAATGGCCCTCAACTGAATCTCTACTCTCCACAATTCCCTTCTTGTCTGATTTCTCCCCATTTTCAAACCCTACCCATCGCCAAGAACACAAAAAAAATGGTCTAAATTTCAAGAAAAGATTATTAGATTTTTACCGAGAAGAAATAGTGGTAGAATAATAAGACAGAAAAAAAAAATGAAAAGAACTGATGGGCCCCACACAAGTCTTGGTTAATTTTTGATTTTAAGACTCCAAGCTTCTCTTCTTAGCTCTATGATTTGATCCATCTCCCTCCGAAGAGACACAGAGAGAGAGAGGGAGAGAGGAGAGCATCAGTCAGTTTGAACTGTCAAAAATGACCAAGGCATAGCAGGCTGTGATTGAAGCAAGTGAGGCAGGTGGATATAAAGAGACAATGGGCGGTGGCGTGAGGGAAGCGGATCCTGACCAGTTTGAGAAGATGTCAGAAATTTTAGTTTGCAATCATTTTAGGTGGCCTAACCATCAAAAGTCAGAATAGTGAGGTTTGGCTGAAACTCTACAGTCTCTTGTCTCATATATATATATATATATATGTCTATGTCTGTGCGTCTTTTAAAGACACCACCTGCATGTAATTACTTGTACTTCTACTCAATAAGATGTAGTATATTTCCTGTGTTTTTGATGATTTTCTAAGCGTAGCTTAGATGTGGCACAAGGCCGAAGACATAGAGCACTCATTGAAGATCGGACTCACTACTCTATTGTAATTTATCTGGCCAGACAAGCTTGATAATCATTACACCACATCGAAGGGCCTAATTTTTCTGTGTCTGTCTGACAGCCTGCTTGCTTGTTATATATAAGAGCCGATTGGTGTCTGTTGGATTCTAAATCAGTCCACCGAACCCCTCTTCTCGTTCCACTTCTGTGCCTCACTACAATATATCATCGCTCCGCCCAAAATGTCTTTGCTCCCCTTGCACTCTCGCCCGCCACTCTTAATTTTAGTTCCGCCTATCCGCTATCTAACCATTCGTCGATCCACCCTGGTCCCACCCCAAGCAGTCGTCGCTCTGCCTCCAGTATAAGAAATTTGTATACACTATGTAACCCGCCAGTCGAATCTTCGCCCTTGATCTGCCACTTCCCAATCCACCTCTGTACCCGACTACTACCCCAGTCGTCGCTCCGCCTCGATCTCCTCTGTCACCACCTCCAATCCTCCCTTAACTACCCCTATAAGAGGATCCACTTCATACGTTTCTTCTCTTGAGCCTCTCGGCTGAGTCAATGTTAGAATACCACTAAGCTTATATTTTTTGCAGGAGTTCACTAAATGCTCCAATTTATTTCCCCAAAATTGGCCTCTGCTTTTTTTTTCTTTCTTTTTTTCCCCTTCGTACCCGTTACCCACACATTTCTACCCCCATCTTCTTCAGGGATCAGCTGAAATATGATCCTTTTCCTGAATAAAAAAAATGCCCAGATGTGCAGTTGAAATAAATGCCATCACCAGTCAAGAACAGATTTTGTTCCTCAAGAAATTCACGCGGGCCACTTAAAATCTCACATAATCTATCACTTCCGACTGCAAACATATTCTGTTGTTCTGACCTTTTTTTTTTTTTTTAAGATTTGGTAACTTATTTGGAAAGACTTTTCCTAGGTTCTGAGGGAAAAAAATCTATATTACAAAAAAGACCTGCTTTTCTATCCGTCACACACTGTTTGCGCGTATGCAATGTATAAGCGTACGGCTGTGGTGTGGTGTGGTGGTACCATTTAATGAATACGGAATACAGTCAGGTTCATCCTGTACAAGGCCCGGGAGCCTTTCGAGGTAAAGGGTTATATTAAAAGGCAGTTTATGCGGATAGGAAACGGAAATAATTTTTAACCCTAGACTTGAACAGGTTAAGATAGATCTGTTAAAAAGCACTATTTCGAGCTTTCCTTGGCCATGAGGCACTCCGTGGTTCAAATCCTGTCGGGAGCGCATATTCTTCTAATAAAACTTATCTAATATCCAGGACGGTAGACATAAATAAATATACCGTTTAATAAATAAATGGAGCATCTACTCAAATATTGGTATCCACTGAAAATAACGTTTTTTTATATATATATATATATATATATATATATATATATATATATATATATATATAATCGGCTTCTAATGCTCTGGATGGAACTTCTTGGGGATAGAATGCGTGATTCCGTTTGGCTAAGTAAACTTGGATGAATTACACGACAGAAGAAGAGCGGCGTTACATCGAGTCTGGTTTGTTACCTCTTCATCCCAGAGACCCGTTGGTCCAGTGGGTATGACGCTTGCACCATATCATAACGGTTCGGGTTCAATTCTCGGTAGTCGAGGATCACTGTTGATGAGTCCCAAAATAGGACGAAACGGCCGTCCAGTGAGTGCCTTCTGCATTCTGCTGAGGATTCTTCTAGACTCGATGAATTAATTAACAATAATAATTTCTATAACACACATACTTGTATATAAGTGCGTCTTCGAAATATTAGTTATTCTTTGATTAAAAATACTCGTTTTTCTTTTTCTTTGTTAACTTTTAATTGAAATTATTACGAGTCTTTCGGAGTACCCCCCCCCTTTAGAATGGACCCTTTTGCATTGTTACAACGATCCCTATGGTTGACTGAAAAGGAACCAATCAGAAAGTCCCTTACTGAAACTGCTTCGTCTTTTTCGGAGCGCCATTTTTGAATTTTTCCTTTTCTTTTCCACGTTGGCTTTAAACGAGTAGCACATACAAAAAAACTTCAACAGATCTGTGGAATCCGCGATTGTAGCGCCTACACCACGTGAAAAAATATCGGACTTGGAGACATCACTGCCACAACAACAAAAAATCACAAGATCTCAAAGAACTGTTAGCAGGACGTTTCTTTACTGTGACAAGATAAGTCCGGGAAATACCTTTTTTTTTTTTTTTTCAACATCATTATTGTAAACCTTCTTCCTTTCTTCTCATTTTTCTGTTATACTCATAAAAGTTTTGAATCTCGCTCTTTTTTTTCTAACGCCGTGTCACGTCACTGAATTATCGTTTTTTTGGGGGGGGGGGTTTCTACAGCGGTAATTACTTATTTTTTCGAAAAACCTTAAACGGGTGAAATACCAACGCTTCTTTTTTTTTCTCAAGTGAACTTGAATTTTTTTTTTTTCATTCTTTCTGAAAGTCTCCTTTTCTAAAAAGGGGTCGAATGCGTATTTTTTTTAATTTTTTTTTATCGATGGGGTGACTTCCAACAGTTGCCTTTTAACCTTTACCTCTCTGCATTTGACTTCATTTTCTGTACGAAAAGTTTATCCTGCCACTGAAGATGACTCTGAACATTAGTGTGTTTGAATTTCATAGTTGTGTTGCCATATCCTACAATGGCAACAGAACTCAGTTTTGAGTTAAATTAAAAGCAAGGATACTGCAATTGAGAGGCCTTGAAAAAGAATGCAGTGCAGAGGAAAGTAATAGCAATAATGCAATGTGTTCCAAATAAACAACACCATTTTCACAAGCTGGTTATTTTTTACGGTTTATCAATCAACTTATTTTCACCAGTATTTTGATGGATTGGTTCGTTTTCTACGGTTTATTAACACTTTGCTGGTTATTTAAAAACATTTTTAGATTATTTTTAAGATGATACAGCTTTAGCGATACAGTGATACGATTCTTACTAATTAACCCATAGCTTGAGGGGGAAAAGGTGGATTCGTGCGTAAAGGAATATAACAAACCCAACGGGAATTGGAATTCAGCGCTCCGATTAACGATTCCGGGCCATTATCGATTACACCACCAAGCTGACGTTCTTAAGCGGTTACCCATCTAGGTTCAACGAGGCTCGACATAGGTTAACTTCTGTGGTCGTAAGGAAAGCGATGTTTCAATGTGGCGTGACCGTAAGCCTCATCAGTATTTGATATTTTTTTGTTATTTTTACTTGCTTTTAATTTAAAGATTTTTTAAGGAGTAAAAACAAGATTATTAGTGATACTCGTTGGGATTATAAGCTGTACTCTTTACTAACCTGGTACATGTCAGGTAGTGTAATAATCACTCAATTGCGTCGTTGTTGTTGTGCAGAGTGCATCTGGGGGAAAATACTGAGAGGTACGTGGTCCCGGGGAGCAGCTGTCTGCGCCTGTGCCCCTCTTTGCACTAGAGAGGTAGGATCGGTAGTCATACCGATACAAGTGCAACCAATTGTTGTGGGGGCTGGGCATTTTTTTCGCCCTGGCCCAAGGTGTACGCTCTTTGTGTAACATCTCGTCTCAGTGAGAAGACAGGATAAATACCTACTTTTTACTGTTTAACCCATAATTTGCAGGGAGTTTAATGGAATTTAACTAGTTGATTTCTTAAAGAGCTTTAAAAAAAACGATGTCTGTTTCTTGATTCTCGGACTTTCAGATTTCAGCAAAAAAAAAAAAAAAAGCATCCTTGTCAAATGCTGTATCTCCAGGTTGAGATCAAAGTGTAGTATGCTTTTCTTCCTTGTCTAGATACCTCAACATGAAGAGTGCGAAGTTATTTTTCGCTGCGGCTTTATTTTATTTTTATTTACATTTATTTGGACAAGTGCAAACAAATAAAAAACATTATACATTAGTTCTATTCGTATGCCTCTTTAGTCAATGACTTGTTTTGTACGATTATGGCTTTTTTTCTATCTTTATGGGAAGGACCTCGATTGGATAGATTTGCGTCTCAAACCATTTGGACGTTGATTTTGTAGGCAGCTGTGTCCTAAACTGATTACTGCAAACATAAATCCACATTTTGATTAAGGCTGACTGAAAATCGATGCCAACTCACAAAAGAAAGTTTTTGTTTTGTTTTAAAGGAATTTTTGCTTTGCTGTTTCAGTTTATAGCAGGCCTGCCTAGATGAAGCGGGTCGATTGAAGATAACAGAATCAAACTTGCTGAAATCATTGTCTGTCGTGTGACTGCACTTTTTACAGTTTAGGTCATGACGTCAGATATGCTCGTAATATTTTTCTGAACTAAAGGTTTTGTGTTTGTGTGTAAAGGTTTTGTGTTTATGAAGAGGAGTGAGAAAGAGGAAAATGTTGCACAAACTGAGTGATTAAGTAGAATTTGTGTAAATAGCATTGATAAACATTATTTTTTTTTCTTTCTCTCTTTTTTTTTTATTCTATGGTTTCTTCTCTCTCGTAGCTCCTTGATCTGCTTTCGCTATCAGCTCTCATTCTCTTAATTCCCTCTCCTCTTTCTCCCCTCTATCGCTCTCCTCTTTCTCCCCCTATCGCTCTCCTCTTTCCCCCCTCTATCGCTCTCTCCTCTTTCCCCCCTCATCATCGCTCTCCTCTTCCCCCCTCCTCTATCGCTCTCCTCTTTCCCCCTCCTCTATCGCTCTCCTCTTTCCCCCCCCCTCTATCTCTCTCCTCTTTCCCCTCCTCTATCGCTCTCCTCTTTCCCCCCCTCCTCTATCCTCCTCTTCCCCCCCTCTATCCTCTCCTCTTCCCCCCTCTTTCCCCCCCTATCGCTCTCTCTTTCCCCCCCTCCATCGCTCTCCTCTTTCCCCCCTTTCCCGCTCTCTTTGCTTTTTTCAATTTTTAACTTCCTCATTATATCTCTAGCTTTCTACATTTTTTAATTGCAAATTCTTTTCAGAAATGTGAAACCTTTTGCTATCAGACTTATTACTGTTAAAGATGTCACGATAGCATGCAGATAATGCAAATTGTGAATGAGTTAGTTTTTGTTTTTTGGTGGGGGGTTACAGATAGGGGTTAGAAGTGTGAGTATGCTTGTAGGGCAGGGGTAGCTTCATTCTTTTCAATGCTTGTGTGGGTGAAAATTTATTCAAATTCCCTACCCATCAACGCACATATCATTCCCCCTCTTCTTTTCAAAAATCTTCGTTATATTTTTTCTTTTGCTCTTTCGAAGGACCATATTTGTGATAAAAATCTTCTCTTGAAATCTTAATCTTTTTTAATTTTTTTTTTTTTGTGTGTGTGTGTGTTTTTGTTTTTTTTTTTTTTTTTTTTTTTTTTTTTTTCTCATTCCCCCCCCCTCTTCTCGGTTTACGTCGAGATAATGGAGATTTTTTTCCTTTTCTATTTGAAAATATTTACTTCCAAAAGTTTGCAATTTTTACTTTTTACAAACAGACAAACAAAAACAAAATTAATTGAATCCTAAGAGAAAATGGTTACCTCCAAAACACACTAGCCGATTTACAATATTCAAACTACGATTTATTCACAGGAATGAATTAAATTCACCTCTGCTGGCCTCGGAGTTTAATGTCAGTCATAAAAAGAAATTACCATAATGGTGTGGAACGAGGGGTAACACGTGTATATTACAGAATTTAATGGTGCGTAACTTCTGGTACACGCACACACACGATGTACTATTCTTCAATTTATATTACAAAAGAAGAGCTGATTCTCTCTCAGCCATGGTTTGTTTGCGCTTATATAATGTTTCTGCATAGTTGTCTGTTGTGAGTGAGTGATTTGCTAGTGCATTTTTAAGATAACCCAGTTAGTCTTGTTTTAAATCAGGCATAGGGAACCTTTTCCGACTAGTAGGCTCCATCAGATATGGCTCATCATAAGACGGGTAGCACTATTAAAAAATAATTCAGGCTAATTTTTCGCCTAAGGTGCCTCAACCATTTTCAACACAGAAGAACATATGTGTTATATAGGAATAAATTGTCGCTGCCGATACTTGAGTTTGAACATAGATCGTCAGTGAGCAAACACAGGCGATCCCATTATTGAATTAAGTAAACCACGTGACCATAGAGGAAACGCATATATATACACACACACACACCAAGGCGAAGTGGCTGACGACTACCGATCGCTATTTCTAGTCTATCCCCTATCACTATACGGATCTCCATTTCTGGTCTATCCTTTATCACTATACGGACCGCTATTCTCTATGCGGTTTCCTATTATTCGAAGGCGTATGACACCATTATTGTTCAACGGCGTTACTATAGTTGTATCTCCGATTACAAAGTATCTACTACAACGAGCATTACGAAAGTGGCAACGAGTGTTCGTTGACATTACAAAAATATCCGTAGACGTCTTTTTGAGAATGGGGAAAGTTGATTTTTTTTTTCTTCTGTAATTAAAATTTGAATTCTTGGCAAATTATTAACACAGATAACACTAACAGTGTAGTTAGCACAAGTCCCTTCGTGTAGCTAATTTTTAATTTATTCACTTATTTAAATACAAAAGAAGAAAAAAATTTAAATGAAAAATTTCTTCTCCAGAGAAAGAATTATGAAGGTCTCCTGTTTCTAATGGGAAAGATATTTACATGTTTGACCTTCCTTAGTGAAAATTGCCAATGGTTTAAAATGATGAAAACGTTACCTCCGACGAAAGTTTAAAAATCCAATATACATTGCACTTAATCTTTGTTTATGTATGCGGTCGTATATGAGAAAAATATCTTCAGTCAGTTGTTGTTGAAACCTACTTTAGTGCACTCTGTTTACTGCTTTTCGCTGACCTAACGCGTAAACTATACCACAAAAATCCTATAACTCCCGACTTATTTTGAAGTGTTTCTAATTTCTTGTCGTTGAACCATTTTGTTATTTTTTTCCTTTTTTTTTAGCCACTGACCAAATCATTAAAATTAAAATAAAACTTTTTTTTTTTTTTTTTTCTTTTTTTTTTTTTTTTTTTTTTTTTTTTTTTTTTTTTCTTTCTTTTTTTTTTCTTTTTTTTCTTTTTTTTTTTTTTCTTTTTTTTCTTTTTTCTTCTTTCTTTCTTTTCTTTTTTTCTTCTTCTTTCTTTTTTTTCTTCTTTCTTTTTTTTCTTCTTTCTTTTTTTTCTTTTTCTTTTTTTTTCTTCTTTCTTTTTTTCTTCTTTCTTTTTTTCTTCTTTCTTTTTTTCTTCTTTCTTTTTTTCTTCTTTCTTTTTTTCTTCTTTCTTTTTTTTTCTTTCTTTTTTTCTTCTTTCTTTTTTTCTTCTTTCTTTTTTTTTTTTCTTTTTTTTTCTTTTTTCTTTTTTTTTTTTTCTTTTTTTTTTATTCTTTCTTTTTTTATTCTTTCTTTTTTTCTTTTTTTCTTTTTTTTTTTTTTCTTTTTTTTTTTTTTTTTTTTTTCTTTTTTCTTTTTTTTTTTCTTTTTTCTTTTTTCTTCTTTTTTTCTTTTTTCTTTTTTCTTTTTTTTTCTTTTTTCTTTTCTTTTTTCTTTGTTGTTTTTTTTTCTCCTTGTTTTTTTTCTTTTTTTTTTGTTTTTTTATGTTGATTATAAAACCGAGGTCTTCCTGTCGTTCAATTCGCGTTTCTTTATCTTATTTCTTTTGTAGCGCCTCGTGAGATTGTTAAAGATAAATGTTTATTTTATTTTTTATTTATTTTTTTTTCATAAAATGTTTATTCCTATTGGTTCCTTGTTTGACCCAAGAAGTAATCTAGACATAAAATCGGGGACTGGCTCAGCCATTGCTTTGTATAATCGTAAATTTCGATTCGTGTGTATGCTTTCATGAAACGGTTTCTTAGGCACCAGGACATCTTGACTTCTTTTTCTCTGCTTCTTGTTTTGTCTATAATTCCACAGCTGAACCAATGTTTCATTTTAACGAAATTTCTGACAAATCTATCAGTTGTGGATAACTCGAATGCGACGTACTCTCCAATATTTGATAACCTAGGAAAAAGCTCACTCCATTTTTGCTATATATATATATATATATAATGACCCATGTCCTTTGTACATACATGAGAAACTATATATTACTAAGTTTATAAAAAATAAAGTTTACTAAATCAGAGAAATGAATTAGCTATTTTTGCCGTAATTGTCATAAATTTTAATTAAATAATATTTAAATATGAAATTTTTAAATATTTTGACCTGGTAATATACAGACTTATACTTGATATGGAAAAATAATTTTACTTACTGTAAGTAATTCTAATACATTTACTTATTTTAAAAAGAAATATAGTCTATTAAAATTAACAGTGAAAATATTTTAAAGTTGTATTTAAAATTGTAGTTAAATAAAACGAATTCTAACCTAAACACCTCTCTCAAAGTACTACAAGCACTTAAAAGAATCCAATAAAATACCTACAATAAAATGAAATTAAGATGAAAAGCTAGAAGATGTAAGCCATTGAATGACCCATGTCCTTTGTACTTACATGAGAAACTATATATTACTGGATTTATATAAAATATGTAAAAAATAAAAGTTTACTAAATCAGAAATTAATTAGCTATTTTGCCGTCATTGTCAAAAATTTTACTTAAATAATATTTAGATATAAATTTTTTTTAAAAATTGTGACCTAGTAATATACATACTTATACTTGATGTGAAAATAATTTTACATACTGTAAGTGATTCTAATACATTTACTTGTTTTAAAAAGAAATATAGTATATTAAAAATTAAGTGATTTTTTTTAAAAAAATCGTAGTTAAGTATACAAATAGAAAAAAATGCCGTAAGAATTAATTTTTTAAAACATCCAGGCGACATGCATTTAACGGATGTCAGAATTCATTGAAGAATACATCCCTACCCCTACCAAAACGTAACTAATAACGGATACATCAAAATACAGACATAATGAACATGCAGACACCCCTTGTCTGGTTGAATTGGATTTCTCTGTATCCTTGGAAACGTAAATTAAGATTTTTGCTGTGCTTTTAAAACCCAGTAATAACTTACTCCAAAATTCGCTTGAAGATGAAATGGAACTAATGTCTTTAATTTAATTACAAAATTAAATTCGAAGCTTTTAGCTTCCATTTTGAAACATGGTTAGAACTGTGTAGCGAAAAAAAAAAACATATTTTAAATCAATTTATAAATATATATATATATATATATATATATATATATATATATATATATATATATATATAATAAAGACAGAGACTTTAAATGGATTATAAGCTAAAAAAAAAAAAGGACGTAAATGGATAAGCACAACGAATGTTTCAATAGCAATAATAATTCTATTTTAATTGCGCTTCCCCTCCTCATCGTTAGTTCGCCCGACCGTTACGCTCTGCCAATACTTCATAAATTATGACCTATCCAGTTTTGATCGCGTGCAAAGACGGAAAAAAGACACTATTTGGTTTTAGTGAGAGAATGAATGAATGAAATGGAAGATAAAAGTGTTTAACGACTGTTTCAGTGAAATGGAAAAAGTTGTCGATTTGAAATCTTTTCATTTGTACCCACTTCTTAAAATAACAGCCAGAATTCATGTTTATAATTGTTATTGCAATATATTTTTGAAATTCTTAAGCTCAAATATTTAACGATGCGATAGGGGAATTTCTACGGATATTTTATTGTCGTAGAACTCGCCATGAGCTTATTCAATCATTAAATGAAGAATTAAGATTCATGAGAAAATTCAAATAGGAAAACTGAAGTTTTTATGTGTTAAAACTAGTAGCTAAGATAATTATAACTCCAATAATCATGTGATTTATAAGATTGAAGGAAAGGATCTTACCTATACTTGGATTTCACATCCACGTGGAGGTGGGTAACCTTTTGAGCTTTTTCTTCCGTTCGAGAGCAGTGTTGTCGGGGAGA